TGGTAATGATTTGTGCTTGAAAGCTGTCTTTAACACAGTAGATCAGATGTGCAAGAACACTGTGGAAGTTTTTTTTTTTTCTTTTGGAGATGCTGGGGATTGAACCCAGGAGCTCATACATGCGAAGCAAGATGAGCTACATCCCCACAAAGTTTTGGAAAATCATGTCATCCACATTGACGTAATCAACGTGCACAGCAAATTTGTGGAGGAACATCGGTTATCTGTTTTCAGTTTCTGCCAAAAATACATCCATGACTTGAAAGCTGCATGTTTCTGTAAACACTGTAGATATGATCTTTTTGAAAACTGTTAGGATTGATGGTTTGATGACATTTGGAGATGCTGGGGATTGAACCCAGGACTTCATACATGCGAAGCATGCGCTCTACCACTGAGCTACATCCCCACAAAGCTTCTTCAATCCACGTCTTCCAGATGTGAATGTAGTTCATGATTTGAAGGACACGTCTAAATTTCTGGAGGCATCTTCTAGATGTTTGAGTTTCCACTAAAGTAGGCAGTATGGTTGCTCAGCAGCCGACCGACGCAATGTCACGTGGTTGTGCGGCGTTCGTTTTCGCACACATCTTTCGTAGCTCCTCAGACACCCAGCTCCGAGCTCCTGGGAAACCCCTCTATGGCGTCAAAATAATGTCAGAACTGTCGCAAGAAAAAAATGATATTTCGCGCGCGCAAAGACATTTCGCGCGAGCAAATTCATATCCGCGCGAGAGGGTTTTCATATCCGTGCGACAGGGGATTGAGCTCCGCCAGTGGACATTTGCTCGCACGCGCGCATTGTCCCCTTTCGTGCACAGAATCTCTCGGCCCGCGCGCGCGCACACACTATTACCCTCGCGCGAGTCTTTTTTTTCATTCCCCACTCGCGCGATCTTCCTCTGCTGCTCGCTCGCCAGTTACTTTTGGCAGAAGGTGGGCGGATCCAGTTGGGGTTTCTGTTAATACACATGATTGGTTAAGGTCCCTGTCTTCTGAAAAAAAAAAAAAAAAGGTCCCTGTCTTCTGTGATTGGCCGGCTTCAGAAGAAAGGCGGAAGAAGAAGCGTCTGCGGACTGGAGCTTGGTCTAAACATGGTCAAAGCTAGGAAGGCATGGCAGACCATCAAGAGGTGAGTCACGTCTCTCTTGAAATGCTTAATTGTCTGTGTGTAACACAACTTATCATTTTCTTTAGCTCAACATTTACTAAGTAACTTTCCAAACATTGCCTCCATTATCTGTCTGCAGTAGCACTTGGTAATTTGATGGCCCACCTAAGCTAACACTATCTGACTAGTCTGTTTTGTTTATATTTGTACAGACACAGATGCAAAATGCTGCCATGCGGGTAGTTGCACTAATAAGAKGTGCCCTGGCTGAGAGTGACCCATCTGCTCAAAACCGTAAGTGTGCTCTCAGCGTGGTGTAAGATTATTTAGCTGTGTCATTCTATAAATATGCCGTTTTTTTTAATGGCTGCACAGTAATCATAAAAACACCACTGATGTGATTCACTGAAAATTTTGCAAATCATATTACACGTGAAGCTCATAAAAATGGACCTGCTTATGTTTAAAAATAGGTGAACCTGATTTTAAGTACACTTAAAACTCACCAGTAATTAGTCTGTGTCCTAAGAGTAAAAACTATAATGAAAATAAAGCAAATGTAAGGAGAGGAGATTTCAGAGCACTAACTAATGCCATTCTTTGCTCAGACACAGTAAGCATGTAACAGTACTGTAATGTTACATTAGATTTACATATTAGCAAAAAATAAATGTTGGACCAGGGTGGACATCACAATCCAAAATAAAACCATCCTGGATGGGAAGCGAAGTGTCTTCAACTTTAGAATTAAAAGGTTTATGATTAATGAATGGCCTGAGGGAGCTTAAAGCCAGACTGGTCTGTGTGGACATTTTTAAAGAACGGTCTTGTGAAAGAGGCTTAATTGAAATGGTTTTAAAAAAAAGGTATATATTTCTGGTTAGTGATTTAAATGTGCCAGCTGGCATTATTAGTTAATTGATTAAGCCATTATTTGACAATTAATTATAAATCGATTAATTGTTTGCATCCCTAGACATGACGTGTACATAATGTAAAATGTTACATTTTGCTTGTTACTTAAACTCTTCAGTCTTGTTAAGATACAGATGTAATC